GGTTTTTTTTTTTTTTTTATTTTTTTTTTTTTTTTTTTTTTTTTTTTTTTTTTTTTTTTTTTGCTTTTCAAGACAGAATTTCTCTGTGTGCATGGTCCTAGTTGTCCTGGAACTAGCTCTGTAGAACAGGCTGACCTCAAACTCTCAGAGATTCACCTGCCTCCTGAGTGCTGGGGTTAAAGGCTTGCTGCCACCACCCACCTTCAGTTTTTGTGGTGCTGAGTATCGAATCTAGAACTATGCATCTGGTCAAATATGTTACAACTGAGCTACACTGCTAGCTCATTATTTGGGATTTGGGAGATTTCTTTTAAAAGGAATCTCTAAGTATGATCAAGCATAATCAAGTATAATCAACTATAAACTCAAAAATACAAGAAGACTATTGCCTACGCAGGTGGGTGAGGACTGTCATGTCCTGTCATTGCAATGGTCCTCCTCAGCTGACACTCCCCTAGGTGCCCAGTCTATTCACTGACCTACAACAGCAGGGAAGGGCAGTGAATATCCCCTGCAGGGCAGCCGCAGCTACTCACATGGCAGAAGATCATGGCTTGGGCGATGGTGATGGCCCCGTACAGGTTGCACAGGGCCTGGAACTTCTCCTCTCTGTTATTGCAAATGACATAATACTGTTTGATGGTGTCCAAAGTCTCCTCTTCACGCTTAAGTTTGATGATGTTGGGGTCTGGAACCACCTTCTGGGCAAACTTCCACACTGAGTCTTCAAAGGTGGCAGAGAAGAGCAGCATCTGGCAGTTTCTGGGCAGCATCCTGCAAGTGGAGGCCCAGGCACTTTGCACAGCTTCAAGCTTTTTGCCAGAAGGAACACAAGCCCAGCCTCCGCAGCCTGCATGGGCTGCAGCCCCACAGGCTGAGTGGGATACAGAGCATCCTGAGGAGGGAGGAGCAGACCGAGCGTGGTACTGGGCTGAGTGAGGGTCCCAGGTCTCCCTTCTCACCCCAGGCTGGGAGCATACTGAGAACTGCTGTGGAAATGGCCCATCCCACAAATACTGATGTGCAGAGCAGAGCAGAGAACCCAAAGATGCAAGAGGAGGCTTTGGAGGTTCCCGGTCCAGTTCCTACCTCTGGATGCGGATGCTCTGGTCTTGGTGGCCTTGAGTTGCTATCATCACATCAGCCTCGTCCAGAACAAACACCTTGATCTTCTTGGGGTCAATGAACTTCAGCTTGGAGCACCAGTCCAGGACGGTCCCGGGGGTACCAATGACAATCTGCTCACTGACCTTCTGACCTCTGTCCACTGTGGAAAGACATGTTTTCTTCAGGTATTACAAAGGAAAGCCAGCTCTCCATCATGAGATATTTTGTAACTACTTTGTATTTAATACTAATGACTTTCTGTTCATATTTTAAGAAAAAAGCTTGATGCCACTATAATAATTAATGGGTACATAGCTAACCAAATTTAGAATTAGTGAAATCATATGTTAAGGGTATAAGAAAACATGGTAAAAGTGATAAATAAAAAAGGAGCCAACCGTGGTAGTAGATGTCTATAATCCCAGTAAACAGGAGGCTCAAGTAAGATTGTAGGGCAAGACCAACCTAGATTTCCAACTAAAGAAAAAAATTTTTTTAAATATTGTATGTACATGAGTTTTTTTTTTATTTATTATGTATACAACAGTCTGCCTCCCTGTACGCCTGCAGGCCAGAAGAGGGCGCCAGATCTCATTACAGATGGTGTTGAGCCACCATGTGGTTGCTGGGAATTGAACTCAGGACCTCTGGAAGAGCAGCTGGTGCTCTTAACCACTGAGCCATCTCTCCAGCCCCTAAAGAAAATTTTGAGTACCAATGGGGCAAGGGTAAAGCAGAAGTTAGTTTTCTAGGGAACTGTTAAATTTCTAGGTTGTAACAAGGGCATATAATTATATAATGTCCACATGAGGTCCATACTAAAAGAATTTAGGAAAAAAGAATTACAACAAGACAATTTACTTTCAAGTCTTTAACAAAAATGTACGAACATCAATAAAGAAAATGCGTCAAATGTTAAGTTTCTAAATCTGGGTAGGGAGCATAGATGTGTTCACTGAACTGTTTTAACTCCTGGGCATGTTCAAAATTAAAAGAAGCTCTTAGATTTATCTATGACCTAGGCCCACATATACTCACATTTATTGCCTCGAACAGCATAAGCTAGCTTCAATTCAGGGTAAAACTTGCCCATCTGTTCAATCACCTTTCCTGTTTGAAGAGCAAGCTCATAGGTTGGAGAGAGGCAGAGACACTGGAAAGAAAAACGTGCAAAATGTTTACAAAATTCTGTTTGGCTGAGGGAGTCCACATAGAACCTACCCATCCATCTGGGGTCACAGTAAAGAATATATACAGTAGAAAATATTTGTCTTCTCTTTTTAACATTCCTGGCTGTCCTGGAACTCACTCTGTAAACCAGGCTGGTCTCGAACTTACAGAGATCCCGTCTCTGCCTCCTGAGTGCTCGGATTAAAGGTGTGCACCACCACTGCTTTACCATAAAAAAACAAAACAAACAAAACAAAAAACCTTTCAATTTGTATTTATGTGGGTATTTTGCCTTCAGGTAAGTCTGAACCAAGTATGTACAGTGCTCCAAGAGGCCAGAAGAGGGTGTCAGGTCCCCTGGGGCTAGAGTACAAGTAGTGACTATCATCTGGAAGTTGAACCCAGGTCCAGTGGAAGACCAGTAGTGCTTTTTTTTTTTTTAAATATTTATTTATTTTTTATGTATACAATATTCTGTCTCTGTGTATGCCTGAAGGCCAGAAGAGGGCACCACACCTCATTACAGATGGTTGTGAGTCACCATGTGGTTGCTGGGAATTGAACTCAGGACCTTTAGAAGAGCAGGCAATGCTCTTAACCGCTGAGCCATCTCTCCAGCCCCCGAGCAATAGTGCTCTTAACTGCTGTGTCATCGCTCCAATTACATCATTGCACTTTTAAACTGCTGGGTATACACTAGAATTATTAGTGGTCAGATTATGTCTAGGTAAAGACACTTGAAAATAGGGATGGCCAGTCAGGCATGATAGCAAACACTTTTGATCCCAGCAGTTAGGAGGCAGAGGCAGGTAGATCTCTTAAATTCAGTGCTAAACTATTCTACAGAGCAAGATCCAGGACATCCAAGGCTTCATGGGTTTCATGATGAAAACCAATCTCAAAAAATAAAGGAAGAAAGGACTGAAGAAAGGAAGGAAAGAAAAAAAAAAAAAGAGCAGCATCTGGCCACTGGAGCACAAAACAAAAACTTGCTAGTTACATTTTGTTGGGTTTCTAGGACAACACCTGTACCTTCGAGAAGGAAAGGCTTGTGTGCAGAGTGCTGAGGAGGCTGCAACTGTAAAGCATGAAGGATCTGGTCACTGCAGCTGCAGTCAAGAAGTGGAGAGGTGAATGCGGCTCTTCTAATCCCCCTTCTAATCTAGTCTGGGATGGTGTCATGCACATTCAAGGTAAGTTTCCTTCCCCCAGTTAAACTTACTTGGAAACACCCTTACTGACTCACTCAGAGGCTTGTGGACACCCCAGGGGATTTTAAATCTCATTAAGTTGTTGAACAGGTTGTAAATTTTCAACTACAGATTAGCTTCTTTGTCATTTAGAAAATTCTCAGAACTTTGTCTTCTTTTTCTTCCTCTCCTATTTGGGGGCAAGGTCTTGTTACATAGACCATGCTGACCTGGAGATGAGATGACTGTATAGCCCAGGATATCCTTAAAATTCAAGCTCAACATGTCTCAGCTTCTCAAATTCTAGCATTACAGGCATACACTACCATGCCTGGCAGTTGTTAGAACTCTCTGACCTATGAGAATTGGAATGAGGCTTTTCCTACATGTAAAAGCATCAAGCTTATTATTAGTAGTCTAGGACTTGCACATTCTGTGTTCAATTTGAGTTCTGGTTTATATAAAAATGAATCAGGACAGATGTGGCATCTCATGCTTATAATTCCAACACAGAAAAGGCTCAGGATGATTTCTGGGTGCTCATGGCCACCCTGAATTACATAGTTTCAGTACAGCCTGAATCACAGAGGAGGAAGAAAAGGAGGTGGAGAGAGACCCTTTCTAAAAAAAAAAAAAAAGAAAAAAAAAGAAACAAACGATAAAAGCTTTTTGGTTTGTTTAAGATGAGTATATAATGAAAATTTCATAGCTATATAAAATGGAATACTCCTCAAAAACTGTAAGAAAATGGATGGACTTAGATTGTATTAAGGAAGGTCATACACCTGAAAGGAAACAAACAAACTTCCTCTATTTTCCCATGGGATCCTAGTCTATAATGTGTATCTGTAAACAAATGTACATGTGGATACAGTGTAACATGTAGAATAATGTGTGTCTGTAAAAAAATGTGCCTGTGATACAATATAGCATGTGGAAAGGAGAACTAGAAAGGTAAATAGTGGATAATAGAAGGACAGAATTTAAGCAACAGATTTCAGGACAGCTAGGGCTTCATAATAGAGAGACCCTGTCTCAAAAAACAAAACACTATGATAGTGAAAGCATTAAGGACCTGGATTTTATTCCAAGCCCCCAGAATGAGGTTCACAACCATCTATAACTCAGTTCCAAGGGATATATATGATGCATTCTTCTGGTCTCTGCAGGCACCAAGCACAGACCTGGCCCACAAACATACCTATATATAGGCAACATAAAATTAAAAAAAGAAAAATCCAATCTCAGCACCATAGCTTGAGAATTTTTCCTTTTTTTTTCCTTTTCCAAGACAGGGTTTCCCTGTGTAGCTGACGATCCTGAAATTCTCTGTAGACCAGGTTGGCCTGGAGCTCAGAGATCCAACCACCTGCCTCTTGCCTCCCAAGTGTTGGGATTAAAGGCATGTGCCACCACCACCCCTAGATTGATTTTTCTAACTGTATAGAAATCCACTGAAATGTAGAATTTGGGTTTGGCTAATCTCACTGCATAATGGTTTTTATCAGAAAGTTCTTTCAATAAAGGTTATTTTTTCTATTTTTGACATTATAATTACACCATTTCCCTTCGTTTCCTTCCTCCAAACGTTTCCTTATACCCCACCACCTCTACTTTCCTTCAAATTCATTGACTCTTTCTTTACCCGTTGTTAAGTGTGTGTGTGTTTTC